TTTGGGTTATATAATTATAAATATATATTTCTATAAAATTTTGCTGGTTTTGTTGAGTCAGTGGCATTGAGCAGTAAGTATAAAGCAATATGTATTGATTTCAACATCGAATTGAGCTGCACTGTATTGAAAATTGTCATGTCCTAGGCGATACCCAGCCCAATAGATAAGTGAAAATATATCCATGAATACACATTTTGTGATTAAAATGACAACAGCAGCTATATTCAGTGCACTGAGTTTAGGCGTTTGTTTTTAATTTATAATAATTTATATATTTAAGTATGTGCTTCGTATTATGCCCCTCAGAAAGATGGATGTCCGATTTTATCAGTAACTGTGAACCCAATCTGATCCTTTCTCCATTCTTTGTTGTCTGAGACAGCACAACAAAGATTTGAGGACTGATTTGTAAAGAATAAACCCCTGGCAAAAAGTACGGAATCACCAGTCTTGGATGAACACTCATTCAGACATTTCATTCTGTAAAACAAACTAAGATCAAAAACATGATACAATAATAAGGTCGTTCCAAAGTGCAACTTGTTGGCTTTCAGGAACACTCAAAGAAAATAAAGAGAAAACATTGTGGAAGTCACTGAATGTTACTTTTATTGACCAAGCACAGGGAAAAAAATATGGAATCACTCAGTTCTGAGGAAAAAAGTATGGAATCACTCAAATTGGAGGTAGAAAGTAAGGACACACACAGTCAATTTCCTTTCCCTAAATGGACACCTGCCTCAGATTAGATCTGCTTGTTAGTCTTAAAAACACCTGCAGTCATGACACCTTGGAGGGCTGCTGGACGAAGTGGAGTGGCAAGAACCATGTCTCCAACAAGAGAAATGTCTCTTGAAACAAAAGAGAGGATTGTGAAACTTCTTGAAGAAAGTAACTCTTCACACATGGTTACTAAAGATGTGGGCTGTTCACAGTCGGCTGTATCCAAAATATGGACCAAATACAAACAGCATGAAATGGTTGTTAAATCCAAGTGTACTGGTAGACCAAGAAAGGCATCAAAGCATCAAGACAAACAACTTAAGGCCATTTGTCTTGAAAACTGAAAAAGTACAACTAAACAGATGAAGCATTAATGGGAGGAAGCTGGAGCCAATGTATGTGACCGAACCGTAAGAAATCGCCTAAAGGAAATGGGATTTCAATACAGGAAAGCTAAAAGAAAACCATCATCGACACCTAAACAAACAAGAACAAGACTGCAATAGGAGGTGATGAAATAATTTTCCAAGATGACAATGCATCGTGCCATAGGACAAAAACAGTGAAGGCATTCCTTGGAGAAAGACACATTCAGTCAATGTCATGGCCTGCAAATAGTCCAGATCTCAACCCAACTGAAAACCTGTGGTGGAAATTTAAAAAATGGTCCACAAGAAGGCTCCGACCTGCAAAGCTGATCTGGCAACTGCTATCAAAGAGAGTTGGCACCAAATTGATGAAGAATACTGTTTTGTTATTCATCAAGTCCATGCCTCAGAGACTGCAAGCCATTATAAAGGCCAAAGGTGGTGCAACTAAACACTAGTGATGCATTTTGAATGGTCCTTTGTTTATCTGTTTTTCATGATTCCATACTTTTTTCCTCAGAATTGAGTGATTCCATACTTTTTCCCTGTGCTTGGTCAATAAAAGTAACATTCAGTGACTTCCACAATGTTTTCTCTTCATTTCTTTGAGTGTTCCTGAAAGCCAACAAGTTGTACTTTGGAATGACCTTATTATTACCTCCACCAAGGGGAGGAGGTAATGTTTTTGGTCCCATATGTCTGTCTGTCTGTCTGTCTGTCTGTCGTTCTGTCGTTCTGTCTGTCTGTCTGTCTGTCTGTCTGTCTGTCTGTCGTTCTGTCGGTGGACAAAATTATTCAAAAACTTGTGGACGGATTGTCATGACATTTTTACCACATGTGGGTACTGGCCCAAGGAACACACCTTTAAATTTTGGTGACGTTCCATATCACGATGCAGATACAGGAATTTTTTTTCTTTTAATTCAAGCGAATCAGTAGGGCTATGCAGTGTCATTACGTCAGACGCATACCTGTAGGAAACAGGAAGTACAGGTGGCAAACTAGCTGGGACTACATCTCCCAGTATGTCTACTATCAGGAAAGTTTTGATTATTCTGTTATCAACTACTTCTGGTGATGTGACATGCTGTCTAGCCTGGTTTAAACCAGACCCTGTCCTTCACTTTGCTTCGTACAAGGGTCTGGACTTGTTGCATAGAGAGTCAATTTTTTGCAGGAGGCGTGGCCTCTGCTGAAGCATGTGTGTGTTGTCGGTATGAAGGAGGCTAAGCTAAGAAGCTAACCAGAAATTGCGTGTGCTGTAAACAACCCTACTGAGAGGAGAAATATACCGAGCCAAACGAGGTGGCTGTAAATGAGAGCTGCTGCTTTGTCAGACAAATTTAATTTAATCTGGAAGCCTTATCAACACGGACTGGCTTCATTCACTTCCTCCACTGCCGTATGCTAAAATAACTAGCAGACACTGAGCAGAACATCGACGTCATTCAAAACTCCTCCTTCTGTTTGCTGATTGGCCCAGTTAAAATAAACTACAAGCAGACACTGCGCAGAAAATTGACGTTCTCTTCTCTGATTGGCCCGGCTAAAAATCTGCCAGCGAAATCCATCTCAATGGGAGAAGTCCCAGACGGAGCAGTGAAGGGAAACTAGAATAGAGCGGAGCTGCGTAGGAAGGCAAAGGCCAGGCTACATGCTGTCTGGAGACATACAAAAATAAATGTGATTCTCTTCACGTTACGAGGATAACAGTACACCGACAGCGGGAGGAGGGTCCAGCCGAGCCGAAGCTGGACTGTCCGCAGGAACAGCTGATCAACCAGGTACCCCCTCCACATAAGAACTTCATTCTGTGATTGCTCTGAAGTTTGTGGGACTGTTTGTGCTGAAAGCGTTCACACTGTATTTTGTTTCAATCACTTGCTTCATAAAAATAAAATAAAATAAATAATTAAAAAAAAATTTTTTAAAAACCCACTCACTTCATGGGCCGACTGTACCAGGAAGCACTTTATAAAGAGAGTCAAACCATTACAAACTCATAAAAGGGGATAAAACAGATGTTTTACACGGTGGAATGTGACTGGTGAAAACTTAGGAGCTTAATCCGGGACCAGTTAGACGATCAAAAACGTTGTGTGACGAGTCTGACTTTTTTTTTTCACATTGCACTCCACCAGGAAGAAACCCCGTGCTGCCTGCTTACATGTTCGCTACGTCAGAACTTATTCGGCAAATGTGTTTCCATCTCTGCTTTTGTGCATTTACTCTATTACAGGATGGGGGAAATTGGTCTTAGCGGAGGTTTGCACTCTCCGAGTGCTTCTAGTTGTATCATGTTTTTGATCTGTTTGTTTTAGAGAATGAAATGTCTGAATGAGTGCTCATCCAAGACTGGTGATTCCATACTTTTTGTCAGGGGTTGCATGTACACAGTTTGTCCTTCTGTCACACTTTGCCCTACAAACTTGTGTTTATTGCAGGACGTCCACGCCTCTTACATTCTTCATGTGGACACACCTTGTTGAACCACGCCAAGACTAAAATGAAAAAGGAGAGGAAAAATGTTAACAGGATTAGAACATAGAACATGCATGTACAGATCATGCTATTTCTCTGGCACAAGAGGCTAGTTGTCATATGTTTCTGTGAGTATCTTAAACGTCTTGTTCAAGAAAACCACACACTGACCTCTCTATCTGTACAGCTGTGCCTTCCTGTGAACACAAATCAAATGTAATAAACATGCACAACTCAGCATCTTTAAATATAAACTCAGGTGCACAGAGGAGAAACCAGTAATCTCTGTGATTGAGTCACCTGGCTTATTGTGGACAGAACAAACAGGTCTCAGCTAGAAGACATCATCAGAGTGACTTTATGATGCATTTTTAGAGGAATACTGGATGAAACAGAGCATCCATCTCTCTTAATTAAAGCATATTTGTTTGACAGTTTTACTAATTAGTTTCTATGGCATACACATTGCATTTTTATTTAAGATTTTGATTCCTGTATAATTTATTTTGGTTAGGGCTGCCATGTTTGTTTTTCTCTCCAAACTGCTTTGACACCTTCCACTGCCGCATTTGCCTTTCTGTCCTTGACACACATGTGCAGTAGTGGTCATTGGGGTAGGCCGTGGACGTCACAAGACATTATACAGACAGGCTCTGGTATCATGGCTACCTGACAACGGAGCTCAAAAGTGTGGGATCATTTTAAGAACATGAAAGAGAAACTTGTGCAATATCTGCAAGGCAGAACTTGCCTTCCACAGCAATTATTTTTAGTTAGCATATAGCTAAAATCTAATGATGGTTATATAATAGCAGCTGCATTCTGGCGCGATAAGCTGTACGAATTAACGTATGATCCAATTAGTCGACTAATCGAAAAAAGTAATCAGTGATTAGTCGACTATAAAAATAATCGTTTGTGGCAACTCTAATTTTGGTTCTGTTTTCTTAATATAAATAACTAATAGAGGAGTGTTAGTGCCTCTATTGCTAAAAACACGAGTACAGTTTCACAGTGGCTAAGCTTTCAAAAACAAAATATTCTCAAAGTGCTGATGATGCACATTTTTTGCTTCATCAAAAACAAAAACCTCTGCAAATGACCTCGGCCTCACAACCCACAAAAATATCTGTGCAGCAGTCCTGCTCCATACATCACAAACACTGTTTAGTTTTATTCTCCTCATCCTGGGACAACTTCCAGATATCATCCCTGTTCCCGCCTACTTTGACTCCACCTCCCCGCCTATCTCTTATGATACGCAGGAATTTTCTCATACATTGTTTTGGGAGCAGAAATATTTCATTATCTAAGACGAATGCTACAAATGAAGACAAATACCATCAGGTAGACGTGACTGATCAATGAGGAACAGTGGCTGGAAAGACAGGAACAGAGGAATGTTGGCACAGTTCAAGAATCTCACATTAAGAAATGAGCTACATTTTATAAAGAGCAGAAATTCCTATAAGAAAGTGCGCCTTTTCTAGATGGTTATACGACAGCTCTGTCTCATCATAGCGCACTTCAAGGTTACAGATCATGAAATCAGAGCTACCAAATTAACTGAGCTTTGTGTTCTTGTCTTTAGACCACATATTAAAGAAGCCATTGTTAATCCTAATTTATGCTTCAACTTCCAAAGAGGCTTGAAGTTAAAGAACTTGAATTTGTTCCGGCAGATGGAAACGCTGTCAGCAGAGATATCGTCAGTGAGATTTGATTAAAGAAAAAACGCACCTGCTGCTCGATGAGCTGCGAGTTATTTAAAAAAAATGCAAGGTAGAAAATATGCGTTGCTTCTGCGTGCCACGCCTAACCCGAAAACCAAAGCATGAAAACCGCTAAATAAAGTTGGATGAAGTCCAGCTGTTCTGGGAACATCACAGAACATTCATTTGTGTTCAGAACAATGTGTGTGTGTGTGTGTGTGTGTCAGCATGTAATAGCCCAGTGTCATGTGGATGAAGTCCTCCATTGTGTGTTTTCTGTTTTGTTTCACAGCAAACATGACATTTCTCCTGCAATTATCAAGGTGTTTTGATGATGATGACAGTCGTGTGTGCTTCATAAACTCTTGTTTTGGATGTTTTTTTAATCTTAAAAAAATATTTTTATTTTAAAGAAAATTACAAATATGCTAATTAACAGAACAGAATTATGAATGAAACAAAATTTGCTTTTTGGCTTGCAAATTAGGCTTTTTGTTCGTCAATTTGGATAAAAACGTCAATGAAAATGAGACAAATTAGGCAAAGGTGCTAGAGTAGTAGTGAATATTTTACTGTCTTTCCACGTTTGTAAAAATTAACTAATATGATTCCTGTACCGACGCAAGACTTGTCAGTTTTCATTTATCTCAAGGGAATGCATCATTAAAAAAATCCACCTTTTTCACCATTAAATGCATTTTGTTGTGTACTTGGAGTCTCTAGATATGCACAAAAGTTTAATTTAGTCTTTACCAGTGCTGCATAGATGTCTTTTGTATTCTTTTTGGGTCATATTTTACAACTCGTTCACAAAACAATAGAGAAAACTTTTATGTCAAATTATTTGCGACAGAACTGACAAATAAGTTGTGGATCGGTCTGGAAGCTGGAGGGATGCGAGGTGTGAAGCCCCTTGTTTTAATCTAAAGGAACTGTATCAAAACCAGCTGCTTTTGAGACACGCCTCAGAAAAGGGGTGAAAAAGGTTGGTATAATTCAGACCAAAGCATTGCAGTTACACTTTAAATAGACCCCAAGTGAATGATCTAAATTTGGAAAAAGAAGGATTTAAAARCATGATGTCTTATGTTAAGAAAAGACTGAACAGCTTCGTTACATAATTAATTTATCCTCTGCAGGAAATATCTGAGTTAAGTGATGATGGCATGGTCCTAATAAGTGTTATGCCTATTTTCTCATGTCCACTTTTATGAAAAATGTCCAACACACATCCAACTGTAAACCCATCCTGTCTGAAGGCCTCAAGCATAAAAAAGTCATCAGTTTTTAATCTCACTCTAAAGTTACATTGAAAAGTCATTTAATACATGAATTCCCTTCATCCAAGTATTTCCTAAATGAAAAGCTGCACAGATCTCAAACAAATAATTTTATTTCCCGTAATAGGAATGTTTGTGCACTGTTTTAATTGGTTATCTGTGACATTGAAACACTGAAGTGGTATGTTAAGCAGAGGTCAGCTGACGGGCGTTAACACAAACCTCATGACAGTAGTTTAGACAATTTTAAGTTCTCAAATCAGCCATGTGTCTCTTCTCATTTATACATTTAATACATCGCACATTTAATCATTTCTTGAAATTGTTTTCTAGCTTTGTAATTCTTCTTCAGTTTATCTCTTGTAGAACTTGAGCCTTTGATAGCCCCTACCACATGTTTATCACCTTACTGTTGGTCCACGTTCACCATCTGGTTGACATCTCTGCTGAGTGTCGAAGGGATTTCTTTTTATTAACATCACTGGGTCATTTCCTGCCTTTTAATGGTCTGCACTAAGGAAGCGCTGGCTGTCCTGTTGAGTGGTTTTCCATTGTGCAGTTTCACTTGTTTCAACTCTACTCAGGTCCAGTTAGTCTCTGTGGTTTTGGATACAGCTTTGTGTGCTGCCTCATTGTGGACAGGACCATCGTAGTGCCGCTGCCCGAAACTTCTGCATTGTTATTTCCAAGGCAAACACAACACAACGGTGGGCAAATAAGTCAAATAAAGTCACAAAATACCGTCCGCTGCCACAGTTTCTAAAAATAACGTGGCTGAGTAAAGGCCATTTTCTCTTCGCCAGTCAGAGCCTGGAAATCAAGTCCRTTTGGTCTTGTTTCTTCTGAATCCTGAATGGGCCATGTGGAATGCATATGTAGACATTAGTGCATTAAGTTATAAATAAATAAACTGAAATGTAAAAATTTAGTTGCACAAAATAGATGTTTTTTAGTCACCTACTGTGATTTATGTGCAGTTTCTGTTGACATTTTGTATTTAATTCACTTGTAAAAGAACCAGAGCTACAAGTTAAACTCCATAAAACAGTTTTCTTCCATATTTGCATATTTTTCTTATCAGAGATTCGCTCGCTGGTGATCTTCTCACTATCTAATTTTTAACTCTCCAAGCAGTCCCCTGCTGAGAGTGTGTCAGCTAGTGACCGTCCAAAGATGTTGAAAAGCTCCAAGAACATTTTATAAATTGTTAAAGACAACGCTGTGCTCCTGCCCTCAAACAGTGCAATGAGAGTCAACGTTTCTGTTGTCGAACAAGAGGCTAATAGCTGCTGCTAACCCATTAGCTAAGTTATCAAACTTGAAAACTGTTGTTACGTCCACGATCTTTAAAGAAATAGGTGGAATAGCTGGATGATTCTGTTGAGTCATAAAAGGACTGATGCGTTAGATGAGTTTGTACTCATGTGAGTGTACTCGTGAGTGACGAAAGCCCTAAAAACTTCCGGACAAACAGGCTGCAACCTGAAAATGAGGAAAGGCTGGTTGCAGAGGCCTAGCAGGTGCAGCCAAAAAAAAAAATAAAATAAAATTAAAAAAAATGAACGGGCCGTTTATCCTCATGTTGACCTCCAGCCCAGATGGTTTTAATCACAGCTTTTACTTTGTCACAAATTGTGAGTCATGCTGGTACAAGTGTTGCAGGGTTTATTTGGAAGTCCTGGTTTTCACGCTAGTTCAGGCACAGATGGTTATCCATATTTGCCATCATTGTAAGTGTGGGTGTGTAAACTTTATCCCACATTTTGGTTCTGATTTGCTGCCCATTTTATCATAACTTATGTGAAACTGAGTTTTGTTCTCTATCATTCTTATTTGCTCACCCACCACATTTTGCACCCAGTGTTTGTCCCCTGAAAGTTCAAAGTGGTTGAAGGTCCCTCACCAGGGTTTAGTGTTTGTCTAATTGAACCCATGGGGAGTACGGTGCAGAAAGCAAACACTTTGTTTTTCAGCCCTTTTTGTCTGGGTTTTAGTGACCCTTTTTTAGCAACCAAACTGTAGGATTTTGCATCACGATTTTAAGTCAATATTCAAATTTAACATCCTTTGTTGAGACTAGAAAGACAAACTTGTTTAGAAATCTTTTTTTAGAAACATTTTAAAGTGGTACTAGTCAAGTTTTGTATTGCTTTAAAGATTTTTACACAATGAAATGGTATAAAAGTAATTGTACCATTAATTTTGGGAATATATGTTTCCTTTGAACTTTGATTTCATTATGAAATTAGCAGTTAACTGATATCCTTAGACGGTTACAGCACTTATGTCCCAATTATTTACCTCCAATAACAAGATACACCTGTTAGGGTCGTCAAGTTTGAACTCATTTCTTGTGTTTAACATTGACTGTTAGGCTTTACAAGATTAAATATAATTGAACTTGGGGTCTTTTGTAACAGTTACAGTATTATAGTGTTTATGGGTTATAACTTAATGTGCTTGGCTGATGGATAAAAGACAGTAACCAACAATAAACCCAGATGTGCAAAACATCTTATCTGTTTAAGAAACCTTGAGAAGCATCTGGCTCGTTAGCCAAATGTAGCACAGATTTGTGCTGTACTGGCCTTCTTCAACGCATTATATATTAACTCAAAGTGTTATGGAATCATCTTATTGTAGGATTGTATAAGGATTCATTTTGACCTTTGCAGTCTTGTTTTGTCTTGTTTTATCTTTGTGGATCAGATTAGTTGTTTCAGGTTGATGGTTTTTGTGGTTAAATATTTAACTGAGGGTCTAATGGCTGTTAGGTGTGTATTTATGGGTTATAATTGACTGTCATTGGCTGATTTAATGCCCACAGTCCAATAAAAGACAGTAACCAACAATAAAAGCAGACATGAGCAAAACATCTTATCTGTTTAAGAAACCTACAGGAACATCTGGTTTATTAGCCAAATGTTGACCGGATTTGATCTGTACCAACTTTCCTGTAAAATATTGTATATTAACTCAAAGCGTTAAAGAATCATCTTATTATAGGATTGTATAAGGATTCATTTTGACCTTTGCAGTCTGGTGTTTTGTCTCATTTTATCTTTGCAGATCAGATTAGTTGATTCATGCAATTAACTAATGATGGCAGACAGAAAAAATTAATAAACAGCAAATAAAACACATTTAGGTTGCAGTTTAACATAAATCTATAAGTGTACTGACTGTTTGACTTTTCCGTTATTTAAATCACAGGATGTCCCAATACACCTTGTTCATCATGAGTTTTCATAAAAGAATGCCACATGATCATGACTGACCAGTGGTGTGATCCCACTTTCTTGTAAACAAGTTAAAAAAACAAACTACATAGCTGTTTGTAAAGAGGCATGTTGTTTTTGAATAAGGTGCGTTCACTGACATCAGTTCTACTTAGTTTGTCATTAAAAGCTGGCAACACAGTTTGATTTCTGTGTAAACCCTGAAAAGATCTTTAATTTTCAGTTGAAGTTGATTGTTAAACTAGGTTTTAGCTACACTACTGGTTGTTTTTTTTTTTTAGTTCACACACAAAAACAAGGAAATAAGGGCACTATAAAAAATAAAAACATGTTTAGGTTTCTCCTCAAAAGACTGTTTMAACACAGAAGATTGAGGTTTTCGCAGAAAATAAAATAAGCCCAATAAACCCAACCTTTGAATCTTAATGTAAAGTGCTGCAAAGAATAACCACTCCTCACATGTCCTGTTGGTTCACCAACAAACCATGTATGAAATGTGACATGAAACACGTACACACAAGATCTTTCTTTCCTGCACTCACCCACCGAAGATTAGAACTGTTGCTTTTTATTTTCTCTGCTTTCTGTCTGTAAACGTCTCAGTGGTAAAGAGTCTTAGACCACAGTAAATAAAAGAAGCTCTTGTGGAAATCCATCTGCTTTGATATACTCCTGTTTCTGTCCAAATCATTCAGTGTGAAAGCAGGTTTCTGATCTGGGTTTAACAGTGTTACTGCCCCCTTGTGGAGATTATTTCTCAAACTTTCATTACACTGTTCAGCAGAAACAAGTTGTGGTCACCTTTCATATGTACAACAGAGTATTAGGGCCACACGAGATTTTTAAAAAAATTAATACGAGAAGAAAAGTCATAATATTACGAGAAAAAAATCGTAATTTACAAGAAAAAATTCATAATATTACGAGAATAAAATCATAATATTACAAGAAAAAAGTCATAATATTCTGAAAATAAAATCGTAATATTAAAGTCATAATATTACAAGAACCTTTACACAAAAAAGCAGTCTTACCACTGCATTAAAAGGAGGAAAGTTAAGCAACTTGTGAAGTTCTTTTTTTAGTATCAGTTAAAAGAAATGCTTAATATTTTTAGCACATTAGCATCAAATTATCAGTTGCTGGACTTTGAAACGATTGTGCAAATGTTTATATGCATTGTCATATTTAGTCGTCGCGTAATCTGTATGAAAGCATATTCTATTCTGTCCCCCTCTGCAGGTGATCACCTGTTTCGGCCTTTCTGTCGTCTCGTGTCGCTACGTGGGCTTCGCCGTGGTGGCCCTGCTGGTGGAGATCAACTCTGTGTTCCTCCACTTCAGGCAGATGCTGCGCATGGCCAACATGGCCGCCAGCACGCTTCACCGCATCAACAGCATGATCAACCTGGGCACGTACGTGGTTTTCCGGATCAACACGCTGGCCTGGATGACCCGCTGGCTGGTAATCAACAGGGACAACGTGCCCCTCGTGGCGTACACGCTGGGCAGCGTGGGAATGGCCATCATGACGGCCATGAACATTATCCTCTTCTGCCGGCTGCTCAGGAGCGACTTTTTAAAGAGCAGCATGCGGGACGGCAAGAAGGAGAAGGAGACATAGTGCTCTCGTCGCTCCTCGTTTGCACCCAGTGGCTGAGACGGACACCTGCATATGCAGATGGAAGAATGTGTTCATATCTGTATGAAGAACCAAACGACCTCTCTTTAAACTACAGCGCACATCTTTTGTGCTGAAAGAAACCTCTTCCTGTCAGCTGCAGGTGTAAAACAACAGGAGGCCTTTATTGCTTACACCAAACGCCTTATTGTCCCACTGGGTGATAAACTGAGGACATGAAACAAATTCTTCTGCCTCCGGTTAATAAAACATCTTCAGCTACATCACAATAATATTTTATTTTTATATTGCGGTGTTATTTTTTATTTACAGCCGAGTTAAACCTGTTAAGAGGTGAATGACGTGTTTACCGCCAAAGCACCTCGACAAAAGAAATGCCTGCTACCTCAGAACCTGCTCTAGTTCTTTACCTCTACCCCTCATGATTCGCTGTTGGTGGTACTCTGTTCACTCTCAGCAAATAAAATGTAAAGTAAGCAGAGAAAACGATACAGTAGGACAAACCCTTGCTTTGAGTTTAACTTTGAAGAAGCCTTTAAATGAAGCAGAACATATTTTAATTTAACATCAGTGCAACTTGTAGCAAATTTTAGGTTTGTTTTACATATTAAAGACAAAAAAATTCTGAATAGTTTAATCAGGCGTATAGTAATTTATGATTACAAAGTACAATCATACTACCTGTACTTAGTTTAAGCTGGTCTGTGTTTGTCTGTAAGGCTTTTTCCTCGTGCAAGCAGACTTAAACCCTGTGATTTAAGAGGTAAACAAACTGCATATTGGCTAAAATGCTGTGATACAAATAGCCTTTTTTTAAACACCACCATGACTTTAAGTCTGCAGTAGGAGCTTTCAGACAGAAGAGGAGCTGCTATTCTTTGCATGACCGCTAGAGGGCAGCACATTCCTAAACATCACCGCAGTGACCTCCAACTCCAAGCAGCCAAAAAACCCGCAGATGTTTGTGTATTGTAACTATTTTTTTCCAAGATCATGCCTTTTTAATTCAAAGAATGTTAAGAAATAAAAACAGACATGGAGATTTTCCAGAGGAACAACAAGCAGATCTGAGATCTGTGGACTGTTAAACACAACCGTCTCTTCCAACACTAATCATCTATTTACAGATCTGACACAATGTTGAAACATATTTTCTTTTGTGCAACATCAGTGTTCAATAATTGTATGCATTTGTAATTTATTTTTACTTAAAACAAATTGTGGATTGAAGAGTAAAAAAATAAAGTTTATTATTGTAGCTATATGATGCATTTAGTTGCTGAAAGGCGTTTTTGACTGTTGTTTTCTTCACTCAGTGACTGTAATTTTAAGCTCTAAGATGTGGTCTAACTTTATTACAAACTTATTTCAGTGTAGAAACTGTACATAGGAAGAAAACGTTCCTGAGGTGTAAACATGTGCACTTATTCCTGCAGCCGATCAGGAGGCATTACACTCGAAACCTGTTTGAATTTTTATGGTTCAGGCAGAAAACAGGCCTCTTGTAAAAAAAAAAAAAAAATTGCCCCATTTTGCATTGTGTCAAGAGTGTTGGTCTGTTTTCCAAATTAAATATTTTGGGCAGCTTAGTGGTTGTTATGAAGATAATTGGTGACGATTGAAGTTGTTTTTTAATATGATTTCAGATGCGTAATATGTCAAATTTGTGCAAATAACACCAATTGTTTCAGCCAAGTCCAAATTCAGAAACTAACACCCCATTTCCCTTTTGTGTTTCTGGCTTTTATTTCCAAATACAACTCTACCAAAACTGTAAGAACATATTTGTGGCTAACATTGTTAATGAGATTTTCAGGATACGGCTGTAAAAAAACAACAACTTTGTATCATCACAGTTGAATGGAACAAAATAACAGTTTTATTTTTTTTGTGTTTTAGTAAGAATGTTTTGTAATTGAATCTCCTGTTAAGTTTGTATAACATCACTTTAATGTGACAATAAAGTTTAAATGATTTGTCTGACTGCTGTTCTATACAGACAGTATCTTTTGAAAATTTCTTCAAAATCTACCCATTGGCTCTTGAGATATTTTGCTAACAGACACACCAACAACCTAGGAAAGTACTATTGCCCTCCTTTCAGTGGCAAAAAAAAAGCTAAACAGCATTTCAACATATTAAAATTTTGAGGAAAAAAATAAATTTTGTTACTTTTCGTTTTTAAGCTGAACTGCTAGCTACTATTTTCTTCTTTTAGCATTTAAGTGTGTCTTGCTATTTTTAGGCATTATGCTATATTTGGGTTTTAGTTCTTTATACTTTCAGCTAAACTTTAGCTTTTTTTAGCTTTTTGATATTTTAAAGTTCTAGCTACCTGCCAGGTTTTAGTCTTTTGAACAGATACATTGTTTCTAGCATTTTTTTAGGCTAGCCTTTGCAACTTTTAGCATTTTGCTACTTTTGTCTTTTAACCTTTAGATAATTTTATTTTCCAGCTAGCCATTCCTACATTGAATCTATTTTGTTGAAATAGGTGAGGAGTCTCTCCTGGGGCTGCCACCTTATCGTGGTGGAGAGGTTTGACTGTCCCAATGATCCTAGGAGCTATGGTCACCTAAGGCAAACAGGTCCTAGGTGAGGGATCAGACAAAGCGCAGCCCAAAGACCCCTATGATGAGTACCATAAATGGATTCAGTGTTCACTCGCCCGGATACGGGTCATTGGGTCCCCACTCTGGAGCAAGGCCTGGAGGTGGGGCACGTTGGTGAGTGCCTGGTGGCCGGGCTTTCACCCATGGAGCCCGGTCGCGCACAGCCCGTAGAGGAGACGTGGATCCCGTTCCCATGGCCTCACCACCTGTGGGAGGGGCTGTAGGGGTCGGGTGCATTGTGTGTTGGGCAGTGGTTGAAGGCGAGGACCCTGAGGGTCCAATCCTCAGCTACAGAAGCTGGCTCTAGGGACGTGGAATGTCACCTCTCTGGTGGGGAAGGAGCCTGAGCTGGTGTGTGAAGTTGAGAGGTTCCAACTAGATATAGTCGGACTCACCTCGATGCACCACTCTGGCTCTAGAACCAGTCTCCTCGTGAGGGGTTGGACACTCTTCCACTCTGGAGTTGCCCATGCTGAGAGGCGCCAAGCAGGAGTGGGCATACCTATTGCCCCCCATCTCTGTGCCTGTTCGTTGGGGTTCACCCCGGTGAATGAGAGGATAGCCTCCCTCCACCTATGTGTGGGGGGACGGGTCCTGACTATTGTTTGTGCCTACACGCCTAACAGCAGCTCAGATTACCCACCTTTTTGGAGTGCTTGGAGGGGGTGCTGGAGAGCGCTCCTAACAGGAACTCCCTCGTTCTGCTGGAGGACTTCAACGCTCACATGGGCAATGACAGTGAGACCTGGAGGGGCGTGGTTGGGAGGAACGGCCCCCCCGATCTGAACTCATGGACTGTCCATAACAAACACCATGTTCAAGCATATGTGTGTCCATATGTGCTCTTGGCACCAGGACTAGGCCGCAGTTTGATGATCGATTTTGTTGTCGTTTTATCTGATCTGCAGCCGCATGTTTTGGACACTCGAGTGAAGAGAGGGCGGAGCTGTCATCTGACCACTACCTGGTGGTGAGTTGGCTACATTGGTGGGGGAGAATGCCGATCAGACCTGGCAGACCCAAACATATAGTGAGGGTCGGCTGGGAACGTCTGGCAGAATCTCTTTAGACAGAGCTTCAACTCACACCTCCAGGAGAACTTCAAACACGTTCCGGAGGAGGTGGGGGACATTAAGTCCAAGTGGGCCATGTTCCGTGCCTCCATTATCGAAGCATCTTACCTGAGCTGTAGCCGTAAGGTTGTCGGTGTCTGTCATGGTAGTAACCCTCGAACCCGCTGGTGGACACTGGCGGTGAGGTATGCTGTCAGGCTGAAGAAGGAATCCTATTGGGTCTTTTTGGTCTATGGGACTCCGGAAGCAGCCGATAGTTATCGGCAGTCCAAGCGAATTCAGGCTCGGGTGGTCGCTGAGGCAAAAACCCGGTCGTGGGAGGATTTCGGAGAGGCCATGGAAAAATACTTCCGTACAGCTTCAAGGCGATTCTGGTCCACCATGCGGCATCTCGGGGGGAGCGGTTCACCACCAACACGATCTGTGGTGGGGATGTACTGCTGACCTCAACTCGGGATGTTGTGGGTCGGTGGGCGAAATACCTTCGAAGACCTCCTCAATCCTACTGACGTCTTCCCATGATGAAGCAGAGCCTGAGGACCCTGGGTTGGACTCTCCAATCTCTGGTGCCGAGTTCACTGAGGTGTTAAAAAGCTCCTTGGTTGCAAGGTGCTGGGGGTGGATGAGATTCGCCCGAAATTCCTTAAGCCTCTGGATGTTGTGGGGTTGTGTTGGTTGACGTGACTCTACAATATTGTGTGGACATCGGGAGCAGTTCCCCTGGATTGGCAGACTGGGGTGGTGGTCCCCCTATTTAAAAAGGGGGACCGCAGAGTGTGTTCCAACTATAGGGGGATCACACTTCTGAGCCTCCCTGATGACTATTCAGGGGTCCTGGAGAGGAGGGTCCACTGGATAGTCGAATCTTGGATTCTGGAAGAGCAGTGTGGTTTTCGTCCTGGTCATGGACCAGCAGACCAGCTCTGTGCCCTCAGCAGGGTTCTGCAGGGTGCATGGGAGTTCGCCCAACCAGTCTACATGGGTTTTGTGGACTTGGAGAAGGTCATCGACCGTGTCCCTCTGGGACTCCTGGGGGAAACTCTGGGATTATGGGGTACCAGGCCAATCGATATGGGCTGTTAGGTCCCTGTACGACCTGTGCCAGAGCATGGTCCACATAGCCAGAAGTAAGTCAGACTCATTTCTGGTGAGAGTTGGACTCCGCCAAGGTTGCCCTTTGTCACCGATTCTGTTCAGAACTTTTATGGACAGAATTTCTAGGCGCAGCCGAGGTGTTGAGGGGAACCGTTTTGGTGACCTTAGGATCACATCTCTGCTTTTTGCGGATGATGTGGAGCTCCTGGCTTCRTCAGATCGTGATCTCCAGCTCTCAATGGAGCGGTTCGCAGCCAAGTGTGAAGCAGCCGGGATGAGGATCAGTTCCTCCAAAACCGAGACCATGGTCTTGTGCCAGAAACCGGTACGGTGCCTTCTCCGGGTCGGGGAGGAGGTCCTGCCCCAAGTGGAGGGGTTTAAGCATTTTGGGGCCTTGTTCATGAATGAGGGAAGAATGGAGTGGCAGATTGACAGATGGATTGGTGCTGCGTCTGCAGTGATGCGAGATCTGTACCTGGTCTGTCGTGGTGAAGCGTGAGCTGAGCCAGAAGGCGAAGCTCTTGATTTACCACTCGGTCTATGTTCCTACCCTCATCTATGGTCACAAGCTTTGGGTAGTGACCGAAAGAACAAGATTGCGGATAAAAGCGGCTGAAATGAGCTTCCTTCGCAGGGTGTCTGGGCTCTCCCTTAGAGATAGGGTGAGAAGCTCAGTCATCCGGGAGGGACTCAGAGCCGCTGCTCCTCCACGTTGAGAGGAGCCAGTTGAGGTGGCTCAGGCATCTGGTTAGGACGCCTCCTGGACGCCTCCTTGGTGAGGTGTTCTGGGCACTCCCACTGAGAGGAGGCCCAGAGGAAGACCCAGGACACGCTGGAGGGACTTCGGCTGGCCTGGAAACGCCATCGGATTCCCCCGGATGAGCTGGTCCAAGTGGCTGGGAAGAGGGAAGTCTGGGTCTCTCTGCTTAGGCTGCTGGCCTCGCAACCCGATATCGGATAAGAGGAAGAAAACGGACGGTGAGGAATCCATACTTTAGTTTATTTGCTTTATTTAACTACAGAAAGTAGGCACGAGGCGAGCCATCAGACGCGCAATAAATTCCCGCGCATGCGCACTTATATCAAGCACACCTAACATAAACACAAACATTTACCAGCATGACCTACATTTTTATAGGCTTTTGCTACATCAGCTTGAAGCTAGGGTTGCGCTATTTTCAGTTTATATCAAATATTTAGCTGTTTTTAATCATTAATTTTGCTACTTGTGCCATTTTGATTATTTTAGCTAGCATTTTGCTACATTTAGAGGTAGCTATAGGTATTTGCTTCTTTTTGCTTCAGAACTCACTTTCAGCTCTCATCATTCACTCTTTTTCTCAGTAAATTTCGCTGTTTATTATTATTATTTATTTATTTATTTATTTATTTATTTATTTATTTATTTATTTATTTATTTATTTATTTTACCACCTGGGTGTTTGTGTCCTCACAGACAGTCAGGCTCTTATTGATCCAGCTGTGGGGAGAGGCCGCTCCCTCCAATCAGACTTCGCTTTCATCCCATCGCACCATAGTGTTCTCGCGCGCTTTTTTTTTATCAAGGCGCATCCTTGTTTTCATCGCTTCCCAGCGCCATCATCCACCCACCCGCCTATCTTTCCATCCAGCAGCATCAGCAGCTCGGGCAGATGAGGAGGAGGAGGAGGAGGAAGGTATAGCGCCCACTGCTGAAAAATGAACTGCGCACTTTTATTTCCTCGCAGGCTTTCCGATCGACCGCCTCTGATCGACCATCTTCCATCTGATGGTGGACGCTGCTGCGGGGAGGAGCGGGTTTCTGTGCGCCGTCCTCCCCCTGCCTCTCCAGCCTCCTCCATCCTTTAATTAAAACGGCGTCACATGCAGCCGAGGAGCGCCTCAACGCTGCGGAGGGAATAATGTGTTGTGATGAGGGTTTGGATCAGTTCTGGAGGGCAGCATGCCTCGGCTGGAGGACGTTTGTTTTTTTTTTTTTTTTTTTTTTACAACATTTATCCTAAATCTGTCTCGTTAACATCAGTTTAAAGGTAAGGGGTTTGTTCACATCACTCTATTTATGAGGTTTGAATAGCTGCAAATATACACTCTGTTATATATTCAGCACCTGGAGTTGACAAATGTAGGAAGTTCTCAAAGCTGCTGTGTGTCTGTCTGTTCCTGCAGAGTCTGCAGCCATGGGTGAGCAGAGGAGCCTGTCTCAGCAGGTCCAGAGTGTGGAGAGGAGCGTGGTGTTCCTCAGACAGGAGCACCTCTCAATGCTCCACGGCCTCCACATGGAAATCCTGTCCCTGCAGAAACGCTGCTCAGGTGAGGGGAGGAGCACCTGCTTCAGGTGTGGCAGAAAAACCTCCATCGCAAAGAAACAACTGATTTATCACATAACTGTAAGATATTTAAAGATTAACTAACAGGCTGCAGAGGATTAGAGTAAATAGCTACAAAACTGATAGCGTTAGAGAATTGTTTTTCGGTTTAGGCTGCTGTTAAAGTTAATCAGTTTAATCTACATCTGTTCAGTGGCTCATGAGCTATTCTGCTAACAGAAAGCACACGTACAGACACTATTATCTGCTGATGGAAAAACAAAACAACTTCTTTGGTTTATCCTTTTTAAGTATTGTTTATTTTAGCTTTTATTTAATGACCGTCTCGTTGACCTTTGAGCTTCAGGCACAGGATTTATTTCAAACGGTTGGAAACATACTCAGTATTTTTCTCATCATATTTTATAACTTTAATCGAATCCATTTGGCTTCCAGACAAATATTTTTTGTTTCTATCCAATTTTAGCAATCTGACTTATTAATATCACTTTGTGTTAAAATAAATTTTAAAAAGTACATGAAATCTCCTCAGACCCTTTCTTTGTGCACATCAATTAAATACAGACAATAGCTTCATGATGGTTTCTTACTACACTTCCTCTGTATGACATCATTTCCTGTCTGGGGAATAATGAATGTGCTTTCTTTGTTTGATTTCCCACACTTATAGGGACATTAGTCACAATTAGTTTTTTTTTATTGTTTCACTAAATCTAAATCAAATTGAAGACAAGTGAAATAAATGTCCCTACAAAGAGAACAGGCTGTTATTTTCAGACAGATGTGTGCAGATTCAGTCTGAAGAGTTTGTTAATCCATATTAAGCGGATTGTGGTGCTCAGAGGAGAGCATAAAGGGGGAGGATGTTTGTTTTGTGTGTGTGTGTGTTTGCCGGGGGATGGCTCGGTGCCAGTGTTGTGCTGAAAAAAACAACGAAGCCCTCGTCATTCCGTGGTGCTCACATCTGCAGACAGCACCATCCTGAGGAGAGACTTTCTACTTCTTGTTTCTATCTCTCTCTGCATTCATCCATGTGTTAGAATCACAGATTATTTATAGCTTGTACTGCACACTTCTGCTTTTTTAAATGTCCCTCACCTTCTCCTGGGGAAAAGCATGATTTGTCAACAAACAAGACGGACGAGATTCATTTGATCTATTTATTTTTAAATTAAAATCCTAGCATTCCTCGAAGAAATGCATAATTCTATTATCACACACTGCTTTTTATTCCAAAGTTTTAAACTAAAATCAACTGATGAGAAGAGATGGAGTCATTGTTGTCTTGGTCGAACATTGTAGACATTGATTGTGTTTAAAGTTTGTGTTGGGTATGACTCTCAGCTACTACCTAAGCTTTAAGTTTGACTGAGCTTTAGCCAAAACAGCAACAAGACTATCTTGGTTTATATCTCAGGCAGTGGCGGGTGATATTGCATTTTTCACATGGAATGATAGCTAAGTTTTCTGAAGACCTTTTGGGGGAAGTTTGGCTGTTTTTTTTTTTAATTCCTTTTCTGTCTCATTCTTATGCCTGACCATGACAGGAGAAGAAGAGTTTCTGTTGCTTTTGTTACTCACAGTAAACTCAGCTCAGTCCTGAAAGCCCTCAGCAGCTTTCATGATGTCGGTCATTAAGGTTGAATTTTAGCGTTTTACTCTGTGGATATTAAAGCAACATACGTCAAGTCAGGTGGGACAGATGCACTCAGGTTGTCTTCGGACACAGTAAGGTTGAGCTTTTCTTTTGTCTGACTGACATCCTCTGTTATTGTTCTCTTTCCTGGATTTCCAGGATGAAAGCTGTGCTCATGTCTCCTTCAGCCACAAGCTTTATCTGTCATATTATGTTTTCATTGTCTCTCTCTGTGTGTGTGTGTTTGTCCTTCAGGATATTTTCACAGCGTTCTGCTGAATCGATAAAACAAAACAAAAAAAAATACCTTTTAATGCTCGGTTCAGCTGTAGGAGATAAGACTGACCTACAAAGCGTCATGCACGCAGGATGCTGCAAAGTGCTGAGCGCTTCAGATTCATTCTTTGACTGTTTGAGGAACATTTGCCACATTTTGCATTCAGCTTTGCTTCATGTGCACCTCGGGATGGTTGTTTGTGAAGGCAATTAGAGAGAAAAAGCTCCTGCAGTTTTACTTTAACAGCAGAGAAAATTAATGCTGAGAAATGAGACATGTGTTGTGTATGAGTCTCAGCTACGACCACATCAAATTTTAGCTCCATATTTATAAAACTGAGTGAATTGCAAACTTTGACTTTCTAACGTCAGTCAGCTGTGACGGACACCTTGAGTTGAGTTGGCTCCAAAGCTCCAAAGAGTTGTAGAGGTTCATCCGGTAATCATTTCTTGAAAGTTTAATCAAAAACCACATAGTGTTTCATGATAGTTTGCTAAAAGACAGTGTTAAAACCAAACAATTAATTTATGTCAGTGTGAAACAACTAATATCTTACCTGTTGTAGATGGTTCTTTGAATAAGTTAAGTTTGGAGAAACAGTAGTTGATGATGATGAGTTGATGAACAGAATGATGCGTAAAATGTCACCAAAGAAGGTAAATTTGAGCTTCTTCGGCTGTTTGGATAAAGGCTGGAAGTTTTTTTTCCTCCTCTTTCCTCTTCATGTTTTTTGTTTATATCATATTTCCAATGAGAAGTATTTCTATCTGAATTTTAGCTGTAAGAAAATAAAAACATTTCTCGTGTTTTAGGCTGTAAGTCTCTGGGATGCAGTTTTTGATGTCAAGTTTGAGATTTGGTGTCAGATAAATTATTCACGAACTCACTGCAGATGTGCCGCAGCCGCGTGAGCGCGTTCTTTACAGTTTGAGGAACGCTGAAAAAAAAAAATGGAGCTGTTTCATTTGCAACCCCCCCCCCCCCCCCCCCTCTTGTGTTTTTCCAGAACTGACGAACGAGGTGAAGGTAAAACCTCCAGGCAGGACTCAGATCGGTATGCACTCATTTTCACCTCTTTTCTGCATGCTTTTGTTGTTTTCTATCCTCCTTTTTTTAGTCTAAACTCTGTTATTTTCGTCATTCTTGGACAAAAATAGTATTTCAGTGTTTTTATGTTTGCCTTTAGAGCTTAGTCATCCTCACCGCTCTTCACCTGGCCTCCCAGTTGTCCTTCTACCCTCCCACCCCCTCTTTCCCTCAGGGAACACATTCCCAGTGGTGGGATGTAACTAAGTACAAGTACTTTCTTGCTGTACTTAAGTACATTTTTCATGTATCTGTACTTTACTTAAGTAGATTTCATCATGGGTACATTTTTCATGTATCTGTACTTTACTTAAGTAGATTTCATCATGGGTGCTTTTTACTTTTGCTCCACTACATTTTACATTAAGTATCTGTACTCCACTACATTTCTGTAATGCGTTGAATTACAAATTACATTCATGTCATGTCGCATTGCTTTTTTTCATTAGTTTGTTTGTTTAGTTTGAAAGTAATCAGTGGCGAGAGGGGAATTTCTCTAATTGGTCCATTGAAGCAGTGCAAAGCAGGAAAGTACCATTAGACCCTCCTTCAAAAAGAAAAACAAAAGTGGAGCGATTCTGCATCACCTGGAGCAGCAGCAGCAGCAGCAGCAGCAGCATGCCCACAATGGATTCCACAACGGAGGAAATGTGCCACTCATGGCCTTATTTATTCAAGTTAACTGGTTCAAAAAAYGACTTGTYGAGATTTGATAAAGGACGATGGTGGCAAATTTACAGCTTCTGTTGTCACGATCTGTGATGATGCACAGAATCACACCAAGTGTGAACAGTGTCACAGAGGGTCAACACAAACTGCAGCATTGTTCACTAAAATCACACACCATTGATGTATTTAAAATATACAGTACATAGACACACTTCATAATATTGTAGACCATTAGGGAATACATCAAGCAAGTACGTTTACTTTTAATACTTAAGTATTTTTAAAAGCAAGTACTTACTTTTACTCAAGTAAAAATGTTGATGTGGTACTTTTACTTTTACTAGAGTACATTTTTGTCTGTTTATTTGTACTTTTACTTAAGTACAGTGTTTGAGTACTTTCTCCACCACTGCATATTCCCATTGGACCCCCTCCTTCCTCGTTTCTGTGGGTGGGGAAACTCTCAGTGTGAAGATGCAAACACACCTTCAGCTCCTGGCCTATTGGAGATCAGAACCATTGTCACCGAGCGGAGAAAGAGAATTCCAAAGGAAGGTGGGGTTTTGCAATTCAGCCCCATCTTTATTATTATTTTTTTCTACAGCTTCCAATCCATCATTGCAGCAGCTGTTCCCCTCCTAACATCACACATCGATCCATTCCCTTTTTCCCTCCTCCTGCTCTCCAGGAGGTCCCGGCGGGAGTCTCAGCTTACAGCCTCTGCTGTGGCATGAAGGAGGCTGGAAGATGGAAGAAGAGAGAAGTAAATGTGAGGATATGGTCAGTGACAGGCAAAGAGGAAGGGCAGAAACATGAAGATAACATTTCTATAGTTAGAACATGAGCTCAGATCACGAGTGGTGGTGGACGACAGAAAACCTGCTGCTTTCCTGTCCTCCGATGATCCAGCCTGGACGACAGCAGGAGAAGGAAGAAGAAAGGGAGTGGGTGTTGCCCGCTGCCTTTTAAATCAGAGTTTTAAACTAAAATCATGCAGGCAGGCACTTTTTGTTTTGTTTTGTTGGATCAATAATGATAAAGATCACGTTGGTGGTCCAATTCAGTTCTGATGTGGACACACAACACAAACAAATCTTCATTCAGCTGATTGCAAAAGTCAAATTTGAAGATTTGTTGACTCCGTTAGCTCCATTATCTGCTTCTTGGCCAAGGAGGAGATCCACACATCTCTTCCAGCTCTTCTGGGAGGATTCCAAGGCGTTCCCAGGCCAGCTTAGAGACTCCTGGGTCTTCCCGGGGTTCTCCTCCCAGCTGGACATGCATGGAACACCTCGATAGGGCGGCGTCCAGGGGGGCATTCTTAACAGATTTATTCAGTAACTGTTCCATAAAAACCCAAACATGATTAGTTGTAATTTTAYATTCATGTTTGAGATTTTGCTGCTTCTTTTGTGTGTTTGTCTAGAATCTGGGTGCAACATGTCACAAGCTACGTTAAAGTGCCTGTGACCTTCCAATACAAAAAGTCAAAGAAAATATCTTCATATTTAGGAAAATTGTCGTAAAACACATGATTTAACCCTTTTTGTCACATAACTGGCCTATTTTCCTTTGAATTTGGCTCGGCTAAAGTGAAACAGGAAGTGACATCAAAGGGGAACTCTTTAAGAAAGAAAACTCTCTGGTCTTTGTTTATTAAAACTATGTTATTTGAACTCTGACTCTTCATCTCTCTCTTATAGGGACTAAAATTATCTAAAGAAACATCAGAAATTTCCCTGCTGTCTGTGTTGTCAGACGTAGCAAAGCTCCATTTACAGGCAGACATTCCCCTTTGACATCACTTCCTGTTACTTCACATACAAATAACTCARTAACTGTTTATCTCAGTGGTGTGAAATTGCTTTTGCAATRTGTTATSCATRTTACCTTTCCAAAAGTGCGTTCMTATTTTCACAAAAATAGGATGTCACAGGCACTTTAATATCCTTACTTTAAAATATTTYTACAATTCTCTCCAGATATAATTAACTTTGTGAGCTGTTGTCTGTCTCTGTGTCAGAGTTACAGGAGGAAGAGGAGATCCTGGAGGCTCGCTGTCGTGAGTTGGAAAGCCGTCTGTCAGARCAGGAGAGCACTTTAGGAGAGCTGCGTAAGGAGCTGGGCCACAAAGGGGCCCTGGTGGGGGCCCTCAGAGGCAACCTCAAGGAGAAGGAGCGACATTTCCTGGAGGAGCTGAAACGCCGYAGCCACTGCTCCACCGTCCTGAACACGGAGCTGCAGAAACAAACCGAGGCAGCGGCGTACCTCTCCTTCCAGCTGCATGCCGCCAGGCAGAAGCTGCACCAGCAGCGTCTGCAGCAGAGGCAGGGGCTCTTCAGGGCCAATAGCCAGGGGGTCCAGTGCTGCGTCGAGCAGAACCCCCCGCCGTCGGGAGCCTCCCCTTCCTCTCCCGTGGTCAAACCCAAGCGTAAAGGCACCAGGKCCTCCTCGAGGGCGGAGCGTGCCCGAGAGTGTGTGCCCATCGAGAAGGTGACGGGCCCCGCGGAGCCCACGGCCATGCCAGACCCCGCGCTCTTCCTCCATCCTCGCAGGCTCCGAGCCCGATCCAGGCCCACTGGGGCTCAGAGACAGCCTCCTCTGGGTCCAGACAGGGAGGAAGAGGAGGCAGGAGGGGGGCCGGTGGAGGCTGAAGCAGCCAGACTGTCTTCAGCTTCTGCAGCAGCACCCCCTGCTGCTCAGACGAACGCAGATTAGTGACGACCGTGGCTGTGGTGTCAGACTGTTAACGCTGCTGTTCTGCTCCTGGACTGATTTTAGCTTCACCGTAGATACTATTTTATTATGTACTTTGATATAACCTCCAATAATATAAAGCAAACATCAGTACGTTGGTACATCACTTTGATGATTAAGAAGATAGTTCAGAACTTTTGACAAAAGGATTCTGCAGAATTATGAACAAAAATATCTTACCTGGTTCAGATACTCTAGCTTGGCCACCAGTTTTTAAATAAATAACAATAAAAGTTAGTGCTCTTATTATTTTACACCGTTCTTTGACCATGACTGATAGCGAAGATTTTATAGAGTGCATAAATACATGGTGGTGAGAACTATTTATTGAAATATGTGATACTTCTTAAAATTGTCTCAAAGATTGCAGAGACTGAACTGGATTGCTATTTTCCTGGGAGGCTTAGCAAGGAGGTCTTTTGCACAAAATATGTGGTTTTCAGACGGTCCGCTTCAATTTTCACATATGTACTTAACCGGTGTGAGGACGCCATAAAAATGTTTCACCCTTTAGAAAAGGACTAAAAAGACCATTCCGGACCACCAGCATCCATGTTTACAGTATCGCCAATAAACAACATGAATAGTTTAAATCACCACCTATTTATCTACTTTGTACAGGTTGTCAAATAATGTCAAATAATTTAATTTAAAAACTACAGAGAATTTCACAATTCATGTATTTTGATCAAAATGATGAGCTGGGAGCAGAGGCAAAAATAGATGGCTGCTGTTTTGAAAGAACTCCAGTTACAAATATGTCAGAGCATTTTAAGATAAACACTTGGAAAAAAAATAACAACTTTACATCAATCAATATCAGTCAATAAATAACCTTTATTTAACCAGATAGAAAACCCACTGAGATCAGGAACTCTTTTACAAGGGTGACCTGGTCAAGACGTCCGCACGACACATCACAGAGTGTATCAGAGTTTAAAAGTTTACATTGGCATTTATTTTACATTACATGAAATTTTGTCAACGTTTTCAAGCACAAATAGTGGCAACAATGCTCTCTGGTCTTCACTTAGACTAGCCTTTAGCTCATCATTCTGGAGCAGGTGTCATTCAGAGMGCTATCTACAACAGGTAAGATATTAACTGTTCATAACCTTGTCAAAGAGCCCAAAGTCAAAAGAGCTAAACTACCCTTTCAGAAGATTTGTTTACACTGCTGTTATATGCTCCATTTGCAGCAGAGCCTTTAGTCCCTTTATGATTTAGTTTGACCGTGAACGCAGACATTTAAACTGGCCTTTGAGCCCTTGTGTGCGACCCAACCAACTGTGATCCTTCAAGACCGAGCATAAATCAGCCCATCTGTCCCCACGTCCTCCAACTGAGTCACAGCTGAAAATACCAGAGGAAGGGAAGGTTATTGATCAGAAAAAGTAGCTTACAGTTATTTTTAGGCTTTTTTTAAACATTTGCACAGTGAAAAAGGCAACATTTCAGCCATAGAAAAACTTTGCAACMTTTTTAAGCATTATTTATCAGATAAATCTTCACGCTCGGATGTTTCAGCTTCATTTCCAAACAATCTGGGATGTTAAATGTAAATACTGACAAAATGCAATAATTCATACATTGTTTAAACACAAACATTARGAGACAAACTGTTTTAAAGTAATTCTCACTTTGAATTTGATGTCATCAACACATGCACTGTAACTTTATAGACAAAAACTAATTATGTTTCTTACGTAGAGATTATCGCTTTTTTTGTTGTACTTTGAGCTATAGGTTAATGTGAATTTTGACTCACCCTGTATTTCTGCTAGAGAAAATGCAGCTGTTAGGATTTGTTGCTTTTTATCCTATTTTTTTTGCAGAGAGCTTTGATTTACAGAAAACAAATATTTGTTTTCTCGATTAAGACTTATATGCATTTTCCAATCCTTTTTGATTAAAAAAATAGAGTTTAAATAATTTCAGCATCATTAAATTCCCCTTGTTCATTTCACAAAGGGACTGTGAAATGATGGATGATAAATAATCTGCAGTATAAATGACACAACATCACAATTTTACCACCTTTTGTTGTATTAAAATAATTTTAATCTACATGTCAGGTTAGAATTGCAGAAGTTTGTCTCATTGATTTTGTCAAACAGCAATCTGTTAGAAAAAACTTTTTCCAAAGGGACATAAATGCCTTAATACAGGTCACTTATATATGCAGACAAAAAAAAAAAAAAAAAACATTTACAGGAGATCTTGCTCATGATGAAAAAAGTTCCTTTCACAAGAGCTTAGGTTGTCAAATCTTGCTTCAGAAATTAACAGTAGCTCTAAATTTACACCACAGTGCCTGTTTTAGGTGAAATAACATTCTTCCTTTGTTGTTTTAGCTTTAAAGGACAAGGCCGCACTCAGATGATAATCAGCTCTGACTCGTTGGACCCAGTGTTTTTTCTCAGGTGTGGTTTTTGTATCGAACACACATACACACGCARTGACAATTTCTCATTGTGTGTGGGTTTCTTTTTACCTCAGGAGAAYAAGTAGGGGGGGTTATCAGGAGCTTGTTAAGGTTTTACAGTTTCCTGTAGCTGTGTGTACACTGTATGTACTCTTTTCTGTCATTTGTTACCAACATCCTGCAGCAGGTGCCCCCTAGTGTTACTAAAGATCTAGTTCCGTCTGTTTAATGTTGGACAGACGTCTGATGCTATAGCTTGCATATATCACCTAAAGTATTCCTCTGTGATTGCTGCCTTATTATAGACGACCTTCATTAAAGAAGATAGACTGTGTGGAGGTAATGCATTTCTTTGTCAAGTCATTTTATAAAAAGGACTCATTGTGTGGGGTGTGTTAGGACCAACTTCAAATGTGAGGATTTGCTCTTTTTCTGCAATCAGCCAATCAGATGTTTCGTTCTGTCTTTCACAATAATACAGCAATATATTTGTTTCCAGCCATGGGAGAAAAGAAAAGTCTTTCAATCCTGGGGTTTGACTCTTGGCCCACTCATCTTTAAGAAGGTTGCTTCAGTTTATTGAGCTTTGCAGATATTTGTTTCTGCAAAGCTCTCTGTTGAGGTTAACTGAACCGTTGTTGTTGTTGCACATTTACTGATTTATTTGGGCTTGCTGTCCTGTTTGATGAGTGAATGTGGTTCGAGCTTCAGCTGTCAAACCGATGGCGTTATTTGACTCTGAAATCCTTTGGTCTTCAGGGGAGTTTATGGTCGACACTATGACCACAAGGTGTCCAAATCATCACCCCTCCACCGCCGTGCTTGATATTATGAGGTGTGGCACGGTGCTGGGCGCTTCTCTTACAAAATTTATGTTGAATAACAAATGACATGGTGGAATCTGCTGTGTGTTTTATTCTCATCAGGTTAGTTGTAAATCATTTTAGCACTCGGTAAAGACTCGATCGTTTTTCATATCTCCTGATGCGTAACACCCCAGAACTGAAAGGGAGTTGACTTTCTCTTTTTTTACCATAACGGTCCATTATTAATAGTTTTTAGCAGTTTGAGGATGCCTCAAGTGTTAAAACAGATTGATTTGTTTTAATATTCTGTCATCCTTGAACATGTTAGATTTTGCTTCATATTGATACAAGAGTTTAATGGACTGTTAAATGCTGCTCTTGTGTCTTAACGAAATAACAAAGTTATTTGTTTTACCTCCAGGGGAAAAACTTAGCTCCGCATGTATTTTTTTCCATGTTCATTTTATTTTGTGTTTTGTAAAAATWCAAACGTGACAAGGGTTTTCAGTCATCTTATTGTTGGTTACTTGTTAGCATTAGTTTCTATATTTCTGCTCAACTTTGACAAGACATCACACAGTAAAAGATGAAGCTGTTGTGCTCAAACCAGAAACTTTACAGCGTTAGATTGATGGAGTCCTCAGTATATCACTCAACCTGAACTCCAAACCAATCAGGAGGCTGAAGAAAACTAGGTTAATGTAGCTCTTAGGAGACTTCCCACAGATCTTAAAGTAAAGATGAAGTAAGGAGACGTCTTATTAGAGATGTAATTCTTATTAATATTCAAGCTACCCTGAATCTTCACAGCCTGCTTTGATTTGATATGTATCACACAGATAGCAAACAGAACATTCTTTTATTTCGCGGTCTGTAAACCTTTAGTCCTGACAGAAGTCAGCAGCAGCGACATTTACTTTTGTCTAGGTCTGATTGTTATTGTCATCTGTATGTTTTTCTCCACCAAGCATCTTGTTTGTCATGCTATGTGGTTWCTAGCAATAATGCTGTGGTACTCAATGTAAATGAAGAGTTTGGTTTGGGGGAGCATGAAGCACTGATTGCTGCACAGACACGATGCTGTATGCAAAAATGAAATAAAGAGGAGGACTGCTGAGTGTGACAATTGCTTGAAAAAGAGTTTGATTTAATTGAAAGTTGATTTTTTTTATTATAATTAACAAATAATCCAGAGTTTATTTGATTTTTAGCTGACCAGAAAAGGACCTGAGTTAAAAAATGTTATAAAACAATAATTGTACTTTCTCCTAAAGCTAAATATTCTGAACAATGTACGCTTTCATTATGACAAAAAGCTGTCATTCTGAAAAAAATGCATATTATCTGCTTTTTCCATTTTACAAAAAAACTTTATCTGCTTTTTTTAGTTTACAAAAAAAAACTCTAAATATTGATCAAATTTGTTCTTCATCAAAAAGCGTCTCCCCAAAGTGTTAAGCTGAAATGTGCAAAAAGCGTTTCTGAATAGTTTTGTCCGTCGCGGCTTCCCGTAGACCTACTCCCGGTAGGAGAGGACGTTCAACGCAAAGGCAAAGAGGTCAAGAGGAGGAGGAAGGAAAACCACGTGTGTTCACTACCATGTACCGCTCTGTCCTTCCTCAGTAGACTTGTTGTAAGCCTGCACCCCTTACATGTAGCCACGTCCCAAAGAAGCAGATTCATCTCGATTTTGCTTTATTTTAAAGAGAGTCGCACACGGAAGCAAAGCTGTGAGGGGACATTTTCTGTAGAAACACTGACTGCCGAACATGGTGAGCAAAACAGATGACATCCCGGCGTCAGTGCCTGACTGTAATCCGGTTGATCTGGCGGATGAACCGGTGGATGGAGCTCAGGACTGCAAAGAGACCAGAAGGACACGTCTGAAGGATTCCTGTGGTTGTGGTAAGTGTGCTGCAGAGTGCACAAACAAACTGATGCTAATCTATCCGGGCTTCTGGGTGCATCAAATTAAACATACAAGTACAGGTAATATTCCTGTTATAGTATATCACCTGCACAGGACTGTAGGTAACCAAATGTGTCCTTGGCTCTTTTTGGTAGCGATTCGTACAAGGTTTGGCACATGACTATTCAGACTAACCCTCACCTGCTTCCTCTCACCTAAAGTTTATTGGATGTTGCACCAAAATATGTATTTTATCAATGTTTATTTCTATGTCAGTACACTACTTAACAGTTTACACTAAAAACAACGACATGTTACTGCTGTTAGAGGTTTTATTCTGACACAAGAGCACAACCAAGCAGGTTAACCCAAACACATTAGCCAGTATGCTAACATGCTGGTCCAGGACATGGCAAATTAAAAAAAAAAAGTTAAAACACAAAACGATGCTTCTATTCTGTAATTGAATGGGTGTCGCATCCCATCAGGGGAGCTTTCTCAATTAAAGAAAAAAAAAGTATGGGGTTTGAAGTTTTTTTTTTAAACAAAGTCAAAAGCTCTGTTATGCAAACTAGTTAGCGTGCTAACGTTAGCCAGCGTGCTAGTGTTAGCCAGCGTGCTAGTGTTAGCGCACTGACATTAGCTATTTCGTTCAGTTAGCTCCCTGACTAGCTAACTAGCATGCAGCCGCGCCTGTTTCTTCCGACAGACAGTTTCAAATATTGAAGCAGCTTTGTAAAGTGGTGTTTGTCTCGGGATGAATCGATAGCACAGCACATGACTGCCTTGAGTTATCATAATCGCATCTGCCTGGCGGTGTTGAGCAAGTCTCACCCTGACGCATGTTAGTTAACGGCGTGTCACAGAGTGACTGACAGGAGGAGACTGAAGGTCACCTTCAGCGGAGCTTCCCACAGGAGCACCGAGGAGGGGGGATCGAAAATATACTTTATTTTTTCACCAAAGTGGTGTGTGTGTCCTGATAGCCTGCGTCACAAACGCGTTAATTCGTTTTTATCTGTGTTAAKTTCGCGTCAGCTGCTAAAGGCCCGGGAGTAGCCCAGCGGCTAGCGGCGATCACCGAAACCGCGTCCGTCCTACCCGTCTAGGATGATCGGTTTGGCTGCTCCCGGCTCGACCGGGAAGCGGAAGCCGGTTGTAGCAGGAGTCATGATGCACAGTGAGTGAGAGGGAAGGTTATAACACACCAAGAGTCGAGTAAAAACTGGTGAGTAACATGGAGGGTAGAAGTTGTTGTAAGCGCTGAATGCTGTCGGTGGAGTCAGATGAGACTGACCTGAGATCAGTCAGCCGCTGAAGTTTAAACTTGCAGAAGTCACTGCAGTGTGTGTGTGTGTGTGTGTGTGTTTCAACCGGTTTCAACCTTAACTTTCCTCCGCCACAGCACCTCACTGGTGTTACATTATAGGTGAAAAGTTGTTTATTTTACTTTAAGTCCTGTTGTTATGTGAAAGGATGATCACTCCTGTTTGACTTGTAACTCTAAAACTCCACATTCAGGAGCAGGACGAAGCTAAGACGAAGTCAAATATTAGATAAATACACAAACCACAAAAATGCAATCAACTTGTCACTTGATTTATAGATGTGGGATCAGTGTGGCCTAATCATTTGCTTCACACCTCTATAAAACCTTTCTCTTACTCCKTAGACAATCACGAGATTATAATGTTTCATTTTGTTAATCTCAAAATGTCAGTTAACTGAAAGCAAGTAACCAGTTTGTGTCACTATTGTGTGTTTGGTCCAGACAGTTATTAAACTAGTTAWATAGTCATAAAATAAATCAGTGCTCCCAGCCTGCTGTAGAAAATGTCTCTTTTGGATAAATAACTTTATATAAATGATTCAGTCACATGTTGATGAAGAGTTGTAATGGGACAGCAGTGGGTGGCGGAGCAGACACTTTAAGGCTCACTTTCAATGACTTTAAGGAGCTTAATGTTCGTAAGTGTGGCCTGGATAATCCAGGAATCATTGACACTGGCACGGTTGCTCAATTCAACTAAAATCTTCTGTTGCAATAAGTCTCTTTGTAATCAAGCTGGTTGCTGTCATCATTCCTGATTTATTGCCTATTATTGTTATTATTGAAATCTCGAGGACATTAAAGTCCACCAGTCTTCACATCTTGTGGTCCATCTATTGCTTGAGAGGCCTTGCGTGCTGTTTTTGTTTTCAGGGTTGTCAGACTGGTTAATATTGCCATGGTCCCCATGTCAAGGGCTGCCGAGTGGGTACCGTAGATGTGTGGCTGCAAGCAATATTGTGTTTCAACAGAGCTGGGCTGAGGTAATTAACTATACAGGTCCTTCCCAAATACTTAGCATATTGTGATAAAGGTCATTATTTTCTGTAATATACTGATAAACATTAAAC